CCCCCCCCCCCTCTCTTTATGGATCTTCGGCTTCCTGGCGTTTGGGTTTGTCTTCATCACTTTCGGCTGCCATTTCTACGACTTCTTCCACCAGGAGGAGTGGGAGAGAAGCTTCCGGGAGCACGTCCTGTAAGTAGGGGAGGGGGTTCCCCCCCCACCTCAGCCCTTTCCTCTTTAGGCGCCCGGCATCGTTTCCTTGAAATCGGGGTGCTTCGGGGCCGTCAGAGCGGGGCCGTGATGGTGGAGCAGAGGGAGACTTTTTCTTTAACCCCCCACCTGCCCACCCACCCAAATTCCTGTGCTTCCCAGGACCCTCCGGGGGGGGGGAGAGGCTCAGGCGGCCTCTTGGCATAGGCAGCTTTTAGGGAACGGCGCAGAGTCTCCTCTCCTCGGTCTCCGGTGGCTCTCCGCTCATGGCTGCTCTTCCCCATCTTGGCCGTGAAGGGTGTTTGGGGGTGGGGGAGAGGCTCAGGCGGCCTCTTGGCATAGGCAGCTTTTAGGGAACGGCACAGAGGTCTCCTCTCCTGGGTCTCCGGTGGCTCTTCGCTCTCGGCTGCTCTTCCCCGTCTTGGCCGTGAAGGGTGTTTGTCGGCTGGATTATTTCAAATGTTTTGAACCCCGCCTTGCTCCTTAAAAGGGCCCGAGGTGGCTTTCACTTGTGTCAAGGATGATATTTAAAAGGATACAAATACTTTAAAAAGAATGAAACGAGGATGATGTTTAAAAACGGTAAATAAAACCAATGTGCCAAACAGATTTTAAAATCAATGCTGTGAAACATATGTAAAGAGGCCGTCTGCCCCCCCCCAAAAGTTCTGCAGGCCAACGGCTGGTTCTTTATGGGTGTCCTCCTGGGTCTCCTTTTTCCTTAACTCCATCCGGTTGCCCCGTCTGTAGCCCACCTCGAGACCCTTTCCCTTGATCGCCGTCAGCAGGAAGGTTCTGAGCAGCCGTGAAGCCCATGGTCTTTTCCCAGGCTGTGTTCGAGCAAGCTTCTCTGCCCGCTCAGCTCTTTCAAGGGGTGGTTTTTATAGGACCTTAAATGTAAAATAATATTTTTAAAGACGTCTTCCCTTACGAGCATCTTCTGAATTAACTGTGTTTTTAACCAATATAAATGCTTCAACAACTTAGAAGCTGCAGTGTGATATTTGACTGACTGACCCAGTGATTGATTGATTGATTGATTGATTGATTGATTGATTGATTGATTGATTGATTGATTGATTGATTGATTGGAGTATTCCTGTGTGGTCTTTCACCAAGAATTCTGAGCTCTAGACCCTCCTCAGAGCCTCTGCGTGTTCAGGAACCGTGCGGAGATGGGCCGTGCTCTGCCTCCTTTTTTCACCCCCAATTTCTCCCCTCTGCTTTTACCCCACCCCTACCCCTTTTCCCTGGTAGCTGTGAGGCCAACGTGACCATCGCGACCCAGACTAATAAACCCATTCCCGATTGTGAGATCAAGAACCGCCCCAACTTGCTGGTGGAGAAGATCAACCTCTTCGCCATGTTTGGGACGGGCATCTCCATGAGCACCTGGGTGTGGACCAAGGCCACCCTCCTCATCTGGAAGCGCACCTGGTGCAGGTAAGGATGCCGCCTTTGAGAGTTTGGGGTTTGGCCCAGAAGAGGCCTAAGCTGAAGAACTAGGCACGTTTGAGCCCGGAGGAAAGAAGGCCGAGGGGAGATAATAGGATAGCACTTCTCAGATACTTGAAAGGCTGTCCTCCAGAGGAGGGGCAGGATCTGTTCTTCATCATCCCCAAGTGCAGGACATGCAACCATGGGCTCAAGCTAACAGGAAGCCAGATTTCGGCTGAATATCAGGAAAAACTTCCTAACTGTTAGAGCAGCACGACAATGGAACCTATGACCTCAAAGGGAGGGGGTGAGCGCTCCAGTGCTGGAGGCATTCAAAAGAAAATTGGACAGCCCTCTGTCGGCTCTGCTTTGATTCGAATTCCTTGCCTTGAGCAGGAGGTGGGACTCAATGGCCTTACAGTTCGCCCTTCCAACTCTTATCAGTCTGTGATTCTGCGAAAGTCGGGGGTATGTTGGTTGCATTAGACTCACAATAAAGTCAGTCCCCGATTCAGACCCATGAAACGCATGTAACCTGCTGTATGTCACAGTTCGGCAGCAAGAACAAGCTTCTCTGGAGAAAAGCCAGCAAAGACAGGAGACAGAAATTCAGTTTTTAAAGAAAGGAGGATTAAAACTCTTTGGCTGTCGCACGTATTCCGGCGGGTGGGAACGGTGTGTTTTATTCCAACTCTTGGAAAAATTAGCTTTTTTTTTTTGTCCGATGCCGCAAGAATCCCTCAGGGAAACATGAGTTAATTTTCCCAAGCTATAGATTTTTAAAAAGGAGTCACGAAACCAAGGTGCCCTCCACACACTGTGGGGAGGGGCAGGTTTCCACCTTCCCTTACGTGGCCCCCGATGCCCTGTCCTCCTTCAGGCTGACCGGCCGGAGTAGCAACGAGCCCAAGAGGATCAAGAAGAGCAAGATGATCGCCAAGGCCTTCCTCAGGCGCAAGGAACTCCAGAACAACCCCAACCAGGAGCTCTCTTTCAGCCTGCGCACCGTCTCCCACGAGGGGCCAGTTGGTAGGTACAGGGGAGAAGGGAAAGAAAGGGGTGCCCCACAGGGGCTCCATATAGGAAACATGGCTCAGGGCAGGGCAGGCCCGTTTCGAGAGCCCGTGACCCTAAGTTCGGAAAAGGGGCTTCTGTTTTCTATAATTCTACTTCAGTTTTTGTATTGAGGGGGGTTGGAGGACCCTACACACAGGATAGGCTTCAGAATCTGCAGCTTCATTTATCCCCAGCCTGAAAATATTAAATATATTTAATATATATAAAATATAAAGTAAAAATACATTTTTGTGATTTATCCAAACTGGCCACTGGAGGGAGCCAGAGACCAGACTTTGTATTGTTGTTGTGTCTTCTCTGGCTCCCTTTAGTGGCCAGGTCTGGTAAAACATAGTGAAAAATACCTCCCCTCATTATCATGCTACGTATAGCGTTTGCTATTATCCATGGTTTTCAGCATCTGCAGGAGCTTGAAACCAATCCCCCGCAAATATGGGGGTCGTACTGTATTATTGGAGAAATGGTTGGTGTGTGTTTGTTGTAGGCTGTCTCCCAGGGAGGGGATCCAAGGCAGCTCACGATGTTAAAACAAATGAACAACTAACTGCGCAATGATAATTTAAAAGTAATTAATTCATTCTGCAGCAGTAATTAAAAAGCATTTAAAAGCACACGTAGAAGAACCAAAACCCAGCATTCAGGGTCCTTGTTGTCTAAAGCCTGCCAGAAGACGTGGGTTGTCAATTGCTGGTGGAAAGATAAAAAAGGAGGGAGAGCGTCCCTCAACCCGGGAGCAGCCGCGGAGAAGGCCCTCTCCCGTCTCCCCGTCAGAGATCCCTGCAATGGCAGTCGGTCTTTCTCTTTGCAGCCGGAAAAGCCCCGACAGGGTTGATGTGGTCTTTTAGATAGCCAAGATCCCAAACTGTAGAGGGCTTTATAGATTATTCCCAGTAAAGGTGCTCCTCCTGGAAGCCTGAAGAAGCAGGAAATGGATTTTTGGTACCTCCACCCTCGCTGTTTTTCCTGCTTGGGGATACGCGGGGCAGGGACCTTTTAAAAAAGGACGTGGGGGGGATGGACTCAACTTGTGCAATATAATCTTTAAAAGAATAATAATAATAATAATATCCCCCCCTTCCACAGCTGGTTTGGTTTTTGATATGAACGAGCCCTCGGGGGACGTCTCCTCGGCGTGGGCGCAACAAGTGACCAAGATGGTGGCCAGAAGGGGAGCGATTCTCTCTCAAGACGTCTCCGTCACTCCAGTAGCCACGCCAGGTAAGGCCTTCTCCTGGAAAGGCCCGAGTCTGTCCCGAGGGATCCTTGGGCGGGATCCTTGGCTCAAACGAGCACTGCCGGTGGTGGGCGGCTCTCTCCAGACCTTGGAAAAGTTGCTTTGGAAGAGGGAGACTTCCAGAAATCTCCTTCCCGGAAAGCCTAGCGCTCTGCTCAGTTGCTGCTTGGGGGTTGGGGGGGGTTCCTTTCTTCCAGCAACTTTTTGAGGTACGTATTGGTTCTGTCAGGCGTTGTGCCGCGACGTCAGGAACTGTATACGTGGGTTCCCAACCCGTGGCTGGAGGAGGTGGTGGGAAACACGAGTACTCTTATGCAGGAGTTTTTGATCAGCAACTCATCATCCGCCTGATCTGAGGAGGCTGGGTTTTAGGGATTGGCTTTTTGGATTTTGTGGACTACAAATCCTGTAGTTCTCCATTCTGGGAGTTCCGCCTTGGCTCGCCTGGGAGAAAGCCCTCCACTGGGACATTGAGGCTGAGCTCGGCCTTAGCTGCCCCTCACTTCCTTGTTAAAGAAAGAAAAATCTCCCAGCTGACACCGGAGGTGGGAACAGGAAGCTTGAGGCAGACCTCTGCCTCAGAGCTTTCTCACGTAGACCGTTCTCCCCGGCATATGACGTGTCGGTGTCTGTCAGGAAGGTGGAGCTCCCAGAATGCAGAAGGATAGTCTTTGTAGTCCAGAAAGTCTGAGAATCCATTGTCGGGTTCCCTGAGATTGCTGATCCCGTACTAACAGAATGAATGAAGACTCTTGGGTCTACTCACGTCTTCCACTTGGGAAGGCGAGGCGGGTTTCGATTCTGGGAATCCGAGTTGGATGAGCGTTGTCTTCTCCGGTTGAAGAGGCAGGAGGATGTGGCCACTTCTCCTCGGCTTTGGAAGTGTCGCCTGCGATTGTCTCCAAAGGCGAGTAATGGCGATAGCAGGAGGGTTGGCGGTTGGGGGGGTTCCTTTCTTCCAGCAACTTTTTGAGGTATGTATTGGTTCTGTCAGGCGTTGTGCCACGACGTCAGGAACTGTATACGTGGGTTCCCAACCTGTGGCTGGAGGAGGTGGTGGGAAACACGAGTTCTCTTATGCAGGAGTTTTGCTCAGCAGCTCATCATCCGCCTGATCTGAGGAGGCTGGGTTTTAGGGATTGGGCTTTTTGGATTTTGTGGACTACAAATCCTGTAGTTCTCCATTCTGGGAGTTCCGCCTTGGCTCGCCTGGGAGAAAGCCCTCAACTGGGACGTTGAGGTTGAGCTCGGCCTTAACTGCCCCTCACTTCCCTGTTGAGAAAGAAAAATCTCCCAGCGGACACTGGAGGTGGGAACAGGAAGCTTGGGGCAGACCTCTGCCTCAGAGCTTCCTCACGTAGACCGTTCTCCCCGGCATATGACGTGTCGGTGTCTGTCAGGAAGGTGGAGCTCCCAGAATGCAGAAGGATAGTCTTTGTAGTCCAGAAAGTCTGAGAATCCATTGTCGGGTTCCCTGAGATTGCTGATCCCGTACTAACGGAGTGAATGAAGACTCTTGGGTCTACTCACTTGGGAAGGCGAGGCAGGTTTCGATTCTGGGCATCCGAATTGGATGAGCGTTGTCTTCTTCGGTTGAAGAGGCAGGAGGATGCGGCCACTTCTCCTTGGTTTTGGAGGTCGCCTGCGCTCGTCTCCAAAGGCGAGTGACAGCAATAGCAGGAGAGGACGGGAGGGTCTCCCGAGAGTTTCCCCGTCCTCTCCGGGCCACGACTCGGGCCGTGATGCCCTGTGCCTTCCCTTTGCAGTGCCGCCGGAGGAAAGGGCCAGCTTGTGGCTGGTGGAGACCGAACTCTCGGCCCGCCGGCGCGAGAAGAAGTTGAAGAGGAAGAAGAAGAAGAAGAAGCAGCCCCCGAGGGTCAGAAAGGAGGTGTGCCCGGCGGGCGAGGTCTGCGACGACGGGGACTGCTTTACCCCATGGGGCGTCAGCTCCGTCCCACGCCTGCCCCAGCTCCCCAAGGCCAAATGCTTTGTCGCCAGCCCCTGGGAGTCCCGGGCCCTCAACGACGTCCTCTCGCCAAGAGCCAAGGCGGAAGAGCGGTCTAGCGCTTTGCCGCAGGAAGAATCCTTCTCCCGGGGAGGCTGGGAGCGGGCGGGCGGCGGCCAGCGGAACAGCGCCCTGAATCTCATCAGCCACCCCTTCTGCCCCGACAGCTCCCCCCAGGACGAGGCAGGCCCTGGGGCCAGCGGCTGGCTGTTCTCGGGGCGTCGGCAACCACCACCACCACCACTGCCACGTCCTCCGGGCCCCCTCCTCCAGTACCCTTCCCACAGCACCACGTCAGGCGCCTTGTTCCTCAGCGGCCCGCCCTACCGGCCGCCTCAGGCTCAAGGGAGGTGGGGCGGGTTGCCCCCCATCCACTCCCGGACCAACCTCATGGATGCCGAGCTGCTGGACCTTGATTCTGACTTCTAGAATTTGGGTTAGGGGGCTTTTAGGGGGAAAGAGGGGTGCTTCGCTCAGTTGTAGATCAGCCGTGAGCCGGTTTTTTAAATATCTTTTTGGCCGAGGGGAAGGGTTTGGAAACCGACGTTACGCCTTAATCCGCCCGCCCTTTGTGGGACCTCTGCTCCGTTTTGCAGTTAAAATTTGGGAACAAAAGAGTGGCTTGTTTTTAGAGCGGACTTTTGGGGGGGGGAGCGTTTAGGTCAACGGCTATCTTTTGGCTGGCTGATCTTGGGAACAGCCTTTGACTGTGTCGCCAAAGCTCAGCAACTCCCTGGCTCTCCTCGACAGCACCAGCCTTTGACCAAGTGTCCCGTCCCGTCTTGAGGATGCCTCGGGAGAAACCGGAAGGACAGGAAGGCTCAACCCCACCGAGACTCGGGAGGGACTTGCATCTTGTCCGATATTTATTACTTCAAGCGTGGAGAAGCAGTCTCAGAAAGGGAAGCTTGCTTTGGCTTGTGGATCGGCTTTTCAACTTACCCGTTGCCCGCCATGACTCAGACCCAGCTAAATTCAGATTTCAGAGCAGGTCTGAAATCTCAGCCTTCTGCGAAGGGGTGAAACCTCAGCTGTTGGGCGTCCCCGTTGTTATAGGGTGGGCATGGAAAGAGAGAAAAGTTTGAGCCCTACAACCGTGCTCGGGGCAGGAGTGCCACCAGCCACGTCCCACTGGATGGAGGAGAGAAAAATGGCTGCACATAGGAACACAGAGACACCCACACAGGGCCTTACCACGTTTTATCCAGTGTCATTGTGGAGGTCTTCGCTCTGGTTTTCCGCCTCTAAGCTGGAGATGGGGCCAGAAGTAAACGGACGGGGGAAGAGGGATTCAAGAACAGGGTGTCTGTTAACCAAGCCATGGAGCACATTGCCTACAGATGATTTTTGAGTTCACCCACATGCCATAATCTCCTGTAGAGCCACGTCAACCGAATTGTGAATGGTGTGTGTGTGTGTGTATGTGTGCACTGCATTTCAGTCTTAAAAAGCAGGCTGAAGGTTCCATGGTCCGTTAAAGCCAGGCAGGCAGAGAGGGTGTGTGTGTGTGTGTGTATGTGTGCACTACATTTCAGTCTTAAAGCAGGCTGAAGGCTCCATGGTCCGTTAAAGCCAGGCGGGCAGAGAACCTGAAAAGTTACTTTTTAAAGACTACATGCCCGGAATGTCCCCAACAGCCTAATCGGTGACCCTGTTGGTTTCAGGGACGGGTGGCATTGGAGGATTGCAATCTTTAAAAAGTAACTTCTGCAGAACTCTGGACAGGACTGGGCCAGCGGCCACCTCTCTGTCAAGACCGTGTTGTGGGGGGGGGTCCATACTTGCAGGGAAAACAGTACTTTGGACTTCCACCTTTTCTGAATATGTGTCTCACCGGGAAGGCTCAGTCCCTCTGGAGAACTGTGTGTCCAAAAATGCCATACATGCCCTGCCTGGATGCTGCGGGCAGCCTTTCTCATTGCAGTTTTGAGGTGGTTCTTGAGCACCGGCAAGTCACCTCCGACTCGTGGCCATCTCCAACCGGTCCTGTCCTCCACAGCCATGCTGGGCTCTTGCAAAGTCAAGCTTGTGGCTTCCTTGAAGGGAGTTTGTGCGTCTCGTATTTGGTCTTCCTCTTTTCCTGCCTTTCCCAGTATGATCTTTTCCAGAGAATCCTGCCTTCTCGTGAGGTGCCCAAAGGAGGGCAGCCTCAGCTTCACCATTTTTAGCTCAAGAGATAATTCAGGCTTGATTTGATCTGGGACCCCCTTGTGGGTCTTTCTTTCTGCCATTCCAGGGGGGGAGGCTTGAAGCTCTCCTCCAGCACCACCTTTTGAATGAATTGATTCTCTGAATATTAGCATAGCTCCTTTTCTGAAACTGGGAAGGGTTACTTTTTTCAGTCTGTAATTTCCAGAACCCTCAACTAATAAGGGCACTGCCTCTTTCTTCCCCCACAAAAAGTAACTTTTCCTTGCTTTTGGACATTCTTGTTTCTTAGATTTGTGCCCAGGATGTGAAGCAACTGTAGTATTAAGGGAAGCATGATTCCCCCCTCCTCCTTTGGGCAGCTGATGCTGGGATTGTGGGTTCAATTTTTTCCCCCCAGGGTGGGGCAGTCCTTCAGCATAATGTGCAGAGATATAGTTGACATCAGTGGTGTTATTCTGTACCTCCATGGGGGAAAAAAGTCTTTGCTTTTAGCAACCTCAGACCTTAAGACGTCTCGTAGTCCTGAAAAGTAACGGTTGTAAATATTTCTGTAAAGAAGGCTCTCTTAGGTTTTCAAATACAGCAGGACCCTCTGCCCACAGAGGATCAGTTCAAAAAAAATAATAATGCACGCCTATGCTGAAATATGTGGATGATAAGGAACATTGTGCAGAGCATGGTCTCTGGCTCCCTATAGTGTTCAGTTCTAAGAACTTCGTCATTAGAAATGTATATTTTGGGCAGTTTTCTTTTAACTGGAACTTCGTCATTAGAAATGTATATTTTGGTCAGTTTTCTTTTAATATTTTCAGGCTGTGGATAAGTGAATGAGCAGATCCCGATTCTACAGCTAAGGGAGGGGTCCTGCTGTAATAAAATCCATGCATGCTTCTTTGTGGCCTCTATGGATGCACACAGTAGGGTTGTTCTGCGCCTGCGCAGGACGTCACGGAAGTTTCTAGAGCTTAAAGACATGTGATTAGTAGGACGGCTGGATATGTGGCTCTTGATTGGCTCCCCCAGAATCCCCCAGCCTGTCACATCTGCAATCTTCACAGCATAGTTTCATTTTTAGTTCCTGCAGCCTGTTGCTCCACCGCAGTCAGGTTGCTTCATACATAGCTCGGATGCTCCTCGGAGGCGGTCCTCTTGGGGTCTGTATTAGAAACGTCCCCATGTTGCTACTCCTGCAGCACGAGCTTTTTTGGCACCGTCTTCCAGAGTATGAGAACGCTTCTGCATCATGATGAATTGACCAGGTAGAATTGTATGATTGTTTTAATGGAATAGGGCCCCCCGTATCTGCCGAAAATCGGTTCCAAGCCCCCCGTGGATACTGAAGAATGGAGACTATAGCAAATACTATTTCAATTACATGGTCTCTGTCTTCCTCTAATGGCCAGTTCTGGTAGCTTCATTTTTAGAAATACACACATTTCTAGGATTTTTCTTTTAATATTTTCAGACTGGACCAGTGAATATGTGGATACTGATCCCACAGATAAGGGGGGCCCTACTGGGCCGTCTAAGGGGGCTTGCTATCTCCCATTAATTAGAACAAGGTCCTCTTCATAAGCTTATCCGCTTCAGTCAGTTGCCACATACAAGAGTGTTTAGGGGCTTCAGAGATAGTTGCATCATGGATATTCCACAGCAAAGGATGATGTTGCAGGATGCCTGGATTGGGAAACTTGTGGGTTTTTGGATGAGAAGAATCCCGAAAAGTAACATTTCCAATCTCCAGCTTAAATTGAGAATGTCGTTTGAGACCCCCTGGAAACCGGATTTGAACAAGGCAACAAGAAGGGGAAGCTCGTGAAATAAAACCAGAGCTTGAAAATCAGAGCTTACTTTCGACATGACCCAGACCAGTGGATTTTTCTTCCTCTTTGTGCACAGCATGGGAGTTGTGGTCTCTGAGCTCCATTCCCCTCTCCCTGGTGGGCAGCTCACTAGGCATCTGGCCCTGGATTTGGAGGGAGACCATCCACATCGCTGTAGTGAACGCAGTAGGGCCATTTTATCTTTAAGATCAGTATCCGCTGATTCACTTATCCACAGTCTGAAAATATAAAAAATATTAAAAGAAAAAATCTAGAAATATGTTTTTCTAATGCTGAAGTTGCCAGGTCACTAGAGGGAGCCAGAGACCTTTTTATGTACAGCAGGGGTGCCCAACCCCTCGGCTGCCAACCGGTATCGGTCTGTACAGTAGCCTTGGAAGGACCAGGTGGCAGAGACAGATTTTCAAGGGTCAAAAGAACGTGTGTGCTCCTGTGCACATGTTCTCATGCATACATGCCTGCCTGCCTTGTGCATGCATGCACATGCCTGCCTCCCACATGCATGCACACAGTGCCTCCCCCCCACACACACATGAACCTCCCACCCATCTCCTGCACACATACATGCATGTGGTCCTTGGGAAAATGATCTTCAACTAAACCGGTTCGTGGTGTCAAAAAAGTTGGGACCCACTGATGTATAGCATTTTTCAGCATCAAGTGATAGGCCTTTTGGAAGGGACCCCTGGTGAATACAAAGGTCTTAATGAATTATATGCGTGTTCTTTTCCTTTAGTGTCAACCCCATCTTGCATTGGGAGGGGGAGGGTGGTGGAGCTGAAGGCGGTGGGGGCCGCCTGGCTCACTAGACATCCGTTTTCGTATTTTGTAACCACGTACTTGATAGAAAGAAAAAATATATTTTCAGTATACAGTTTTCAAATAAAAATGTACTGTTTTATACTAATCTGATTATTTGCCATGTTGGGGGGGATGTTTGGGTTGAAGGATACGTTTCCATTACTTTGGCCCAGAGAGCAGTGAACAAAGCAGCTGGATAATTACATGCAGTTTGCCATGTCAGTATAATACTTTTCATGTTGGCAAATATAGTAGGAACCCTTATCTGCAGGATCAGTATCCACTGATCTGCTTATCCACAGTCTAAAATTAGTAAAAAGAAAAATCCTAGAAATATGGGGTGTATTTCTAAAGATGAAGTTGACATAACTGGCCACTAGAGTGTGCCAGAGGGACCATGCTCTGTATACCGTCCCCAACCTTGGGCCTCCAGATGTTCTTGGACTACAGCTCCCAGAAGCCTTCACCACCACCTCTGCTGGCCAGGATTTCTGGGAGTTGAAGTCCAAGAACATCTGGAGGCCCAAGGTTGGGGAACCACTGCCGTAGACTTCACTAAAGAAATATATTTCCACAATGTCATTACCAGAACTAGCCACTAGAGGCAGCAAGAGGCTGTTATGTGCATGGCATTCACTGTTTTAATAGGTTATAATGCACATTTTTAGCATCGATGCATAGCTTGGAACTGCTCCCCTGTGGATACAGCAGGGGTACTGCAAAGTACTGCAGAGTGAGGGATGTGGTGGCGCTGCGGGCTAAACCGCAGAAGCCTCTGGGCTGCAAATTCAGAAGACCAGCAGTCCTAAGATCGAATCCACGTCGCTTGTCCCAGCTCCTGCCAACCTAGCAGTTCGAAAGCAGGTAAAAATGCGAGTAGATAAATAGGTACCACCTCGGTGAGAAGGTCACGGCGTTCCATGTCTAGTCACGCTGGCCACGTGACCATGGAAACGGTCTTCGGACAAACGCTGGCTGTACGGCTTAGAAATGGGGATGAGCACCGCACCGTAGAGTCGGACACGACTGGACTAAATGTCAAGGGGAACCTTTACCTTTACTGCAGAGTAGCAGCCTTTCTGCATCGTAATGCCCAGAAGCAGATGCTTCCCTTGCTCTCCTAGTCAAGGAAACTGGTTAAGAGCAGAGTCGAAACCTGCCAACCTGGCTTGGGGATGATGGGAGCTGTCGTTGAATGCCTCTGGTGCCATACAGGTTAATGGGACTGGGTGGAAGGAGGTAGGTGAAAGAAGGTGTCTGTGGATTATCTTTTGACCTGAGTTTCCACAGAAAAATTGCAGATGTTAAAAGGAATCCACGCGATGGAGTTAGTGCCCGTCGCTTGTCCCAGCTCCCGCCAACCTAGCAGTTCGAAAGCATGCAAATGCGAGTAGATAAATAGGGACCACCTCAGTGTGAAGGTAACGGCGTTCTGTGTCTAAGTTGCACTGGCCATGTGACCACGGAAGATTGTCTTCGGACAAAACGCTGGCTCTACGGCTTGGAAACGGGGATGAGCACCGCCCCCTAGAGTTGAACACGACTGGACAAAAATTGTCAAGGGGAACCTTTACCTTTACCTATAAAAGGAACAGAGAAGCACCTCTTGTATTTCTGAAGAGGCCACGGGTCCTTTTTAAAAGACCCTGTTAGGTTCGCCCACCAATCTCAAGAAGACGTATGGGTAACGGAGTCCGTTTCACCTCTTGGCGACCTTCCCAGGTTTTTTTTTTAAGTGACAGCTACGCCAACTCTTTTCCAAAAGCCCTTCCCCCTTTTTCCCCCACTGTGAAAGGACACACACACACCTTGCCATCTCCCTCTGCATCCATAGCTGTTTTCCAACTTGGATAGGTCGGTCCCCAAAGCTAATCAGGCACATGGGAGCGAGATTGCACGCTGAACGGGGATGCTGGGCTCAGGGCAGTCCAAGGAGAAAGCCCCACCATGGCAGAGTTGGAGAAGACTCCCTGGAAAAGACCCCGATGTTGGGAAAGTGTGAGGGCAGGAGGAGAAGGGGACGACAGAGGACGAGATGGATGGACAGGGTCACTGAAGCGACCAACATGAATTTGACCCAACTCTGGGGGGCAGTGGAAGACAGGAAGGCCTGGCGTGCTCTGGTCCATAAAGGGGTCACGAAGAGTCGGTTACGACTGAACGACTAAACAACAACAACAAAGCATTTCCAAGAATGTCAGCTGGGAATTCCGGGAATTGCCTGCAGAAAGAACCGACTTTCCGACCTGCTTCTAGTTAATTTGTGGTTAAGGGTGTGCCTCCCATCAGGCAGAGAAGAACTAAATAAAGTTGCGGCAAAGTTTCCACCAGCAGGTGGCGCCACCCCAGAGATGGGTTGAGTTGCTTTTCTTCGAAGCACTCTGGAAAGTTGCTCTGGGGCGATGATGGAGGGAATTGTAAAAACAGGTGTATGGGTGCGATCTTCTCGCAGGAAACCCCCCCCCCCACGATCTGTGGCCCTTTTGCAAAGGAAAGGACATGAGGAGATGAAGCTTAGCTTTCTTCCGATGCTCCGCCACACAAGAAAATCCCCACCTTGCTAGAATCAAAAGAAGGAAAGGGGGGGGGGCATTTTAAGAGGGGCCTGGGCACCCCTTCCAAGATCAGGGAAGGTCTACTCAGGAGTAAGGTTGGCATCGCCCGCCTCGGGCCTCTCAAGGAGAAAGGAGACGGCGGCCGAGGGGGGGGGAAATAGTTTAAATCAGTAAAATGCACACCCTCCAGCAACGCCTTCTTAGGAACGGTGGCTCCCTGACCCCCCTGCCAACGGTTCCTTTATACCTAAGATCAGGCAGAAATTCAACAGATCCTGAGCAGAACCCCCACCCCACCCAACCCCCTCCAAACTGGGTAACTCGGGGGTTTCGGTCTCTGGCTGCAAAGCCCCCCGGGCGGGCGTGGGATTTCCCCCCCCCTCAACGGTGCAGGGGCCAAACTCCACGATCCGCAGGTTCCCCTCGTGCTCTGTAATCCCCCGAGGGTGATGGGGCTGGTGAGGATGACGATCCGCTGGACAGCTCCGTGGTTGAGGTCCGAGTTCGATTCCCCCGCGGGGCCTCCTTGAGAGGAAGGAGCTGGACCGGTTGATCCCGAGGGTCCCTCCCGGCTCGGCAGTTCTCAGAGGGGGAGGGGGAGGATGGCTTTTCATCAAACCCCGGGCGGGGCCAAACCGAACCCAACTTGGATAGGTCGGTCCCCAAAGCTAATCAGGCACATGGGAGCGAGATCGCACGCTGAACGGGGATGCTGGGCTCAGGGCATCAAGCATCAAGACGGGGAGGGGGGGGCGCGGAAAGGGGCTCAGACGACCGCCTGCCCCTCGTGCA